TCAAGGCTTGAAGGTCCTTGAACCTTTTTTCAAATCCTATTGTTTATTTGTTTGTTTGTTTGTTTCTAATGCTAGCAGGTTTGGTTGTTTCTTTTTCTTGTTAGGTGTTGACAGATGTTATATTTTTTTCAACTTCACAGGGAATTCTGAATCCTTACAAAGTTCTTCCTCGGTGACAGCAATAAAATTGGCTTGTGATAAATAAATGCAAACTAGCTTCAACTTGGCGGACACAAACCAATGACCTTCTCAGCTAACTGTGAATGGGTTTGTTTTAAATATAAAAAGAAGATCTTTAAGTTAATTTATAGTCTACCGTTTTATACATGAGCCTCTGGCTCGGGCAATTGGGCAACCATGCCTCACGTTAGACAATAAACTTTGATTGATTGATTGATTGAAATGATACATGTACTATCTCGCAAAAAATTCAAAGGAAACATCTGTTATAATTTAGAAGCTTTTTTGAAGGAAGTGTTTACATGATATTTTACTGAATTTTATAGATTAAGCTACGGTGGCCCAGAAGGCCCAACGCAAATAAAAAATATACTGCAGCAAATAAAAAAAATCAAAATGCAAAAAAAAAAAGTACCGCAACAAAAAAATGTAAGGCAAACAAAAAATACTGCAGCAATTAAAATATGCAACGCAAACAAACAAAAAAAAAAGAAAACACAAAAAAAAAAAATTGAATCGCAACGCCAAGGATGACTGGGTAATAGTTCTTTCTTAGTTTCCCACCAACACTCGTTCTATCCTTAGCTTGTTCACCTTTCTGAAACCATGTTTTGCAGCGAATGTGGAAAGTCTTTCCCACAATTGGCAAAATTTTGTTCGAATTGCGGTTCTAAATCGACATCTCCTACTAAGGCTTCTACCATAAGATTTTCCAAATTTAGAAAAAGGAAAGAAGAAGAAAGAAGAGGAAAGTTAGAGCCCAAAGGGAAGAAACCCAAAGTGACTACTGCTAGTAAGAAGAAGGATGTTATTGTCAATATAGGAGTAATGAAATACTGTCATGGTGAACTTAAAAAGTGTAGAGGGAAGACATTGCCAATTACTACTACCACAGATGCAAGTGCAAATCAGATAAAGGAGAAAGCAGTCGCTAAACATACAAGTCACGATAAAAGCCTGCATGATGGATTAGAGTATGTTCTTCTTTACCCCGACAGTAGCAAGATAGTCAATATACCAGGATCTAATGAGCCCTTCGTATTAGAGAAATACAGAGAAGAAGTTGGAAGGCAGTACAAGAGAATAACATTGTTTATCAGTACAAAATCAGATTTTCTGTTTTCCAAAATGCCCAAGATGTCAAACGTGGAAAGCGAATCAGAAACGTCCAGTGATGATGAAGAGTTGCAGAAGAGCATTTATGATAGCTCAGCTAAAGTAAGTGGTTAAAGTATATTGTTTTACATATAAATCAAAAAGAAGAAGTGGTGATATTTAGGGGAATAACGTAGGGGCATTTTAGATGTTAACTTCATTACCTAAAAGATTTCATTGCTTTAGGGGCCCGTTATTTAGTATTTTTAGTGATGACAGTGTTTATTCTTATACTTTTCTTTTGTCCTGTGGCGGGGGATTTAAAAGTTTTTTAGGAAATGTCAAAATCATAATTAAAACTTTGCTAATGCACTCACTTATCTATGCCAAGCCCACGGGGGGGTGGAGGTTGGGCAAAGGGTTAGCATTTTTTTACAGGGAGAGGATTTTTTGACTGAAATTATAAGCTAATGTGAGTTTATGAATTCTCACTCTCAGGGTCCTTCATCCAACTTAAGAAAAACAGCCCAATGTTTGTTGTGCAATTTGTTTGGAGGAAATATCTAAAGATGAAATTGCTGCCAAGCCAAATAGTTGTGGGGATGTTTTTCATGAGGTTTGTCTCAAAGAGTGGTTAGTCAATTGTGATTCCACTGCAAAATGCCCTGTCTGCCAGAAAGTCTTCACCTCAAGTGCAAGCACCTCCATTGCAAACAATACAAACATGAGCAGTTCAAACCAAAGCCAGAAAGATCAGAAGT